TTCACATATTCTCTAAATTAATAATGAGGCATCATTGATTATAGGTTATTGTTAGTAGAAATGTAATATATCAAATCAAAAGCTTTTGATGTTTAATGTTTGCTTACCCGATAAAACTAAATAAATAATATATAAACTAGCCTATTGACAATGTTGAGTCCTACAATAACTAAAAACTGTCATAGGTATCTTACCAAGAGAGCCCATTGGATAATTTTCAGAGAGGTGGGTCAGATTAATCAAGATTCCAAAACCTATTCCTCGATCTATTTATAGCATATAGCCATATAGGGATATATTACTTCCTGAAAGTGATTAATATTAAGCAGAAGTCCATGGTATCAAGTGTGTTATCAAATATGAAACAAGCATATAAATTCAAAGCATAAGTACATAATCTTTTTTTGTATACTTTATTATTTTCTAGGGGGGACATGCCCTCCCCTTGCACCTATGTATCCTACTGTAACATGGTATATTTACGGTATCTTTATCTAATAGTTTTATTGGTAACTTTATAATATACCTAGGTACTCTGTTTATTAAAATTAGTTCAGATGAGTTAAGTCATACCTAATTATCTAAGATTTTATTACTTAACAACATAATTTTGATAATACAAATTTATTGAAAACAATTAGGCATGTATTCCATTTTTATTTTTTGTATGGCCATTGAGCTATTTAAAAGAAGACTTGGAATATTGAAGTAAATCTGGCTCAACAATTAAATAGGTAATAATTAATTTTGTTTTTTACAGTACTTGATCCTGAATACAATGTATTATAAATTAGTTCAATCCATACAAAAATTAATTACAAGCACACCTTATCACAATACAACCTTCGTTCTTTACATCAATCATTACATTTATGTTATTTTTTTCTAGGAAATAAAATGTTATAGGTATAGCACACCAATTATGTCTACAAGGGATAATCGAGGGGAAAATAATAATAAAGGTAAGTAGATAAAAAATATGATTAAGTAGGTGATGTAAATGTTAAATAATAATTTAGATTAAAAAATCTGCCTGGTAATACGTTTAATTAAAAAGTGACAGGGATTGAGAATTTAGGAACTAACTTTGATCTGATGATATGTACCTACCTATAGAGTAAAAGAATAAACAAAGTAAGGATAAGGGCTGCACACAAATTATGAATTGATGGAGAACAAATAAACTATTAGGTCAAACCTATAAGTTACATAGGTAGCTTATGTGAGTATCTATTGTAGCATCTTGGTACATAAAAGAAGGATATTAATTATTACGCAAAATTATAACACCATTATCAGAAATTCTGGTTTCATTTTCAATTTCTAGCAAAAATAATTTATTAAATTAGTTTTCCTAAAAAATATTATGGGTAGTGGGTACATTAGGTACTTCCACTTTTCATTACATAATTAATAAATAAACAGTACTGTTGTCTGTTTTATAATAATTTTTAAAAGTGAGATACAGGCCGCGATAAAGGGTAATTAATTATTATGTTTGGTAATAAGATTTAAGTTCACTTATATAGGTACAAATAAAATGTTTACTATTAAGGTACCTATCTACCATAAGTTATAACATATCAATTGATGCAAAAAGGAAGTGACAATGAAGTATAGAAGTATGATTGATGAAACCAATATTATGTCTTTATCATACCATCTTCTATAGTTCTATACCGACTTACATAAAATTACTCAATTATAAAATATTGATGAAGAGTTAATATCAAAAACATAAATTGTCATCAGAATTTGCACTTGGTTAAAATAATCATCCATTAATAAGTTTTAATATTAGTAGTTGGTACCGAAATTAAGCAATTTTCTTTAAAATAAAAAACAATTCACCCATTAAAAGGTATACCCACTACATAATATGTCAAATTAAAGAACATTAATTGTCTCAGTAGTTGCTCTAGTAATATTCAATATAATACTGCATCTTAAGTTTTAAAAATAAACTATAACAGTTATACTTTTACTTAGTAGGGTGACATATAAGAATTTTCCAACACATACTTAGTTATAATAAAATAATCTACTTTATGTACCTATTACCTACCTACTCAATGTTAAATATCCTAAAATATGATCATATGACTGAATGTTTAGTATCTATATAATAGTATAATACTAATAAGTAATAACCAGTATTAACATGCGTATTAATAGGTAATATATAATTATTTATAAATTGTTATCAACACAACCTATTACTACTTATTTACATACATAATTAAAATATTTCTCTCGAGTACCTTAATCATTTTTAAATGTTTAAATGTCTATAACGTGCATTTTTAGTATAAAATATGTTTTTAACATGAAATAATTTAAAGCTGTTAATAAGATAGGTTAGATATCAGCAACAATATATATCTAAAATTGTTGTAATGAATAATTGTTCATAAAACGTTAATTATTGGAAATTAAGTATTTTATTTGTGCACATAAGCAAATAATAAAAATTACACATAATAATGGAGAAACACCTAAGAAGAGTTGAGATTAAATTTTAATTTTCAATGTTGGGCACAGTATTTGATAGCGACATAAAATAATTAGGTTCTAGTATGATTAAATTATATACAATGAGTACATGTTTTTAATGCACAGGGCCTGTTAGTAGCTCCAAGCGCGCCCCGACAACTTCAGACTATTGTGTCTGACGTGCACATGAACGTCAATATGCGTTTGTGGATACACAGACCACTGTCGGGCCGCCATAAGATCACTTATACATTCCTTATCAGCCAAGTAGTGAGTGCACAATGTCTACGTTCTAGCCACCTAGCCATTCCCTTGTTACAACCAAATAGGTGCCTAATTATAATTATTATTACTGTTATTAGGTAACGCTCACCCTTGTCCGTGTATTGTATGACACTATTTTCAGTCCGGCCGAGTGCCCGATGTTTCTGTAAGGCACATTCACGTCGTTCACGCACTTGCGATACACCGAGTTTTACGGCCGACACGCTCGCGCACCCGAATGCCAAACTCAAGACGAACCAGGACGGACGACCGCGCGGACTTGCACAAAGTTTTCTGCTAAGACGGCGCACTGCACATATTATTTGAGTAACGAGACGCGATTTTCTTATTCCGCTTTTACTCTTACTATTTTCTCTTTCTCACTCCCTCTCTCTCTCTCACTATTTTTTTTTTTTTATCGAATTAATAATAATAATAATAAAAAAAATTATACTGTAGTGATACGCGCGCGGCACGAAGTGATAAAAATTGGGTGCGGCTTCCGTAGAGGACTCCACAGCCCACTCGCTCACTTCGCTGTTCTGGCGGGCGGGCGACGTATACCGCCACTTCACCGCACCCACACCGCGAAATATACGGCCAAACCACGGACTAGCCCGCTGCCGGTAGTTGACGTCATTGTCGACGTTCTTGGAAGAAAAAATCGAATTGGGAAAATGGGAACGCCGGCCGTGGTTTTAGTGGTTCTACCTCTACCACAGACTATGAAAATAGAATGGATGAAATCTAGAATAAATCAATAAACTAAATAATAAAACATAAATTATAATCTACAATAACAATCAAAGAATTGTATGTATTTCAAGAGTATTTGTACAGATGTATCTATTTTTCGTCAAAATAATGAAATATAATCGTCTATACATTACATATTTACATTCTACAATATTATGCATTATTGTCTTGATGACTTAGGAGCCTATTATGGTCCCATATTTCTGTGCTTAAAAAAAAGGAATGAGTTGAACTTATATCTATTATAATTCAAATGAAAATAAAATATATATCTCAGTGACGTCATCGATGGAAAACTATTTGAGTGGGAAATTTGAAAACGATATTATTTCAATTTTGAACGCATTTTAAAATTTATTGTATAAATTATAACAAATAAATAATTATAAACAATACTTAGTCGGCTGGTTGTTAGGACATTTATTTATATGGTATTGAAATTTAGGGTAGGTCACAACTTTTGTTCTACAATTTAACCATCGCTGTTTTTAATATACTGCGGTTGTATATTTAAGAATTTAAATATGTCATACAATAAAAGTTGAATAAATAATCCAATATTTAACTATCATAAATGTGTTTACTATATCTTATATTTATATACAACATTTTCATTATGTTAAATTTATTAAATTAAAACATAGATCAAATACAAATTTTGAAATTTACATATAAATTGAGTTGTATAGATACATAAAAACTCACTTAGTTAATAATTCAAGTTTAAGGTTTTTTTTTATTATTAAAGTTCATTTTTAATTAGGTATAAATTATAAATAAAATAACTTCTACCCAATGTTTATGAATTTTATCTTATTTAAAAATTTTATCTTTAAACTTTGATACAATTTAGATAAAAATTTTACATGCTTTATGATTCAAATGTAAAATGAATTAAATCACACATTAATCAATTATGTAATTATATATATTTTGCTCATATAATGACAAGTACAAATTAACATGAACATAATAAGTACACATGCAATTTTGATACAAATATCAAAGAATTATTTTTAATTTAAACAAATATAAAATACTTGATTTAGATTGATTCAGGAACAATAACTCTATACATAAGGTACATACAAATTTGTACATTAACTTTATTTTTATTATATTACATACAATAATAACAATTAACTAAAAATAATTTTGATTATGATTTTGATTATACATTTAGTTAGTAAAAAAATTATTATAATTTGGCATCTAACAAAAAAAATGTGCATTATAAATTAGGTTTTTTGGGTGGTTAAACATCGGTTCATGCAATTTCCCTGTAGTTTTGGTGTTACTGTAATACTATGTGTACAATTTTAACACAGTTTATTTATATGAAGATTTTTTATAGAAGTTTGTTTATTCAAACACAACAAAACTAGTTTTGTCTGTGTATACAATTAAGTTGTTTGTTATACAGGGTCGATTAGGCCATGGCCGCAAACGAGGATAGAGCCCTACCATTTTTTTCTCGTAAATTTTAATTTGTTTGGAGTTTTCCTGGTCTTTATAAGGAGAAGTGACCCCATAAAGTATTTATAGAAATATTAAATTATAGGTAATTTTTTTACAGGGGTCAATGCTGTCCTGAGTTTTTTTTGGGGCCTTAGTATTTCATTATGGGATTCCACTCAAAAAACTGATCCATAAGCCCTTTGTTAAGCCAGGCTGACAATACTGTGATGTGCAATTTAGATGTGATTTGGCTTTATACTAGGACACTCTACAGTAAATGGATCAATCTAAAAACTCATAAACATTAACTGATGTATTTGATTTTCACATTTGTGAATTTCTTGTATTAATCTTCTCCTAACACACTCCATAATACCCAAATGTAAAATAGTGAATATGTTTAGTGAATTTTCATATTTTTTAACTTAAAAATTAATCAATATTTAAAAATTCTGCTAATTGATCTTTAGGTTTCATAATAATAATAATAATCCATCCAAGAACAGCACCATAACATCGACAGCAGTTTAATGCTCGCCAAGTCTCCGAAACTTTGGCTTCCACTTTGCTACCTGACATAATAGCTGTATCATATGTAGTACATGCAAATGCAGCTAAAGCTGTTAATACACTTAAGAATAATACCTGAAAAATACAAAAAGGTAATAGATTAATTTAAAATTGGTTTGAGAAAAAATAATTATAAAACTAATTAATTGTACAACAATGTCAACATGCATTGAGATTGGAAAGATTTTTTTTATGATAGCAAAATAACTCGAGAGAAGTGTAAGCAAGCACTGATCATTAACAAAACATTAAATAGATCGATTTTATCATTATTCACTCAACTGTCTTACTTAAATTAATATTGAATCTAAATTTACCAAAAAAAATTGGAAATTATAACTTTGTGAGGATACAATAAATTGTCAACTATAAAAGTAATAAGAGCCAAATTTTTGATTCACAAACAAAGGGGTTAGGTAAGATTTTTACATTTTTAAGTTTGAATATCTTTTGGTACAAAAAAAAATTGCTTTGTTTATTTTTCTAATCATAGTAGAGAAGGCAATTTTGGCTAAATTTATTTTTTCAGAAAAGAGATCAGATTGTAATAATACTTGACGCGACCACAGGTGATGCGGCCGGTCTTGGGAGAGATATCGATAAATTAATGGAAAAATTGCACGGTACGGGATTTGAACCCGCGACCCACGCGCCGGACTGCCGGAAGCGTAACACTGGGCCACCGCGAAATATTCATTAAATCTTGATATTCCCCCTTTAGGCCAGAGTGGCAGTGTGTACAATTGAGAGAGAGTGATGAGGCACTGGGGTCGTGTCATACTTCAACATTTAAAAATCTGAATAAATTACCAAATACATTAGAAATACCATCAAGTATTTAAACTTACTAAAATATATTTTGGTTTGAAGCTCTCACATCTGTACAAGTCAAAAATATCTAGAACTGTGCACATACATATAGTCGATAATAAGAAAAATGACATCAATATTAATGGTGATCGTTGAGATGCTTCACCCAAAAATAATTGTGCTAACGCTACTCCTGCTAGAAGACCTTGACTGACAGTGCCTAAAGATGCAAATACCCTTTGAACTCTTGCTGCTATTGGACGTAAATTATTGTAGTTCTCTGAAGAAGGTGGATGATCATTTACATGATTAAAGAAATCATGCTGTTCAGTCTTCACAAAACGATTTTTGTCTTGAACATAAATGACAATTTTATTAGCATCATTAGTGCTCGTTGGGCGGATTGGATGTGATAAACGACTAGTTGAACTTTGCACATCATCTCTCACTTCTTCTAATATGGCTGCAACTGTATTGCGACTAGTGTCCATCTTTTGTTGGAAAATCAAGTTATGGTTACATCACCTAATAAGCATAAAATTAAAAAATATTTTAAGATCAATAGCTTCAGTAATTAATTAGTGTATTATACATAATAACCATACTAGGTAGTAACAAACTACCTAATGAAACAATACTGAAAAATAGAAGAAAAAAAGAGATTATCACAACTATGGTAAGTAAAATAATAACAAACCGTTCATAAATGCTTTAAAAATTATAACAAAATCGTATAAAGAATGTATATTCTTTTACTGTTCTAAACAAGTTCATAATCAAAATATAATTGAACTGTAATAATTATAATATTAATTCATAATTCTTATAATAGGACTATTCAGAATAGGTAAAGGTACAAAAGTGAAGAGATTACAAAATATTTTCTCCAAACTCCAAATGAAAAAAGTGTAAACAAATAATAAACCATCATAAATAAACACTGATAGTGATAAAAGCGCGAAACAGATAGATAAGTCAAAACCAAAGATGACTACTATGAATTATAATGTCTTTGAATAATATGGCGATGACGTGTGTCGATAGTATTATCAATACGATAACGTATGTCGTATACAAATTTGTAATATTTGTATTCAGAAAATAAAATATTAGTCAATAGTTTTTACTTTTTAGAGCTTTTGAAGATTGACTTTTATATATTATAGTGGAGAAGTAAAATAAAGTGAAGTATATTATTTTATTTGCAAGCTTCCCATCATGTTCGATAATTTATCCATTTGGAAATGGCATATGGTAAGAACATCAAATTCTAAAATTGTTTAGTATTATGATCCGGGCATATTTTTAGGAATTTTTAGAAATGTTCTTAAATTTGATTTGCTGCAACCCTTTCAGCTCAAAATAATGTGCACAACCTCTCCCGTCAAGTTGATAAAATAGAGCAAAATATGTTCAAATACTTAAAAATAAGCCCCAATTTGTATGTATGTCAGTGTACAACCATACTGACTATGATTCTCATAATATTTTATTAAAACAAACATTATTTAAAATTCATAATGTTTTTTGTGATGAAATATTTGTTAGGTACTCTATAGAGTTTATATTTATGGCATTTATGTACTATGAAATTATAAATATAATTAAACTTTTTATTAGGACCATTATTACAATCTTGAATTCAAGTTAAATATGTTTTAGTCAAAATTTAAAATACAAAATAATTAATATGTTTTTTAGGACTTTGTGGGCCAAAAACATGCTGAATATTTGTTTAGAACCATTATTACTATGTGTGGGGTAAGTTTTTAATTTTTATTATTCATAGAAAATCTTATTGATATTAATATTATATTTGTTTGTATATTTAACAGTTTGTTGGTTTTATTTTGGGGTACGTAAAAGAGCAATTTTCAATCACAATTGGTCTAACATTAATTGGATTTTTTGTTTCTGCTTTAGTAAGTAAATTAATTATACATAATATTATGAATATTTGACAATAACAATTGAAAAACCAATTATTCAATAAAAAAAATGTTTGAAAATGAAATATACTTTTGGTATCTGTGGACCCAAAGCTCTTGTTTAACTGTAATTAGTTATCCAACCTCTAAATTTCATATTTTATCAAGTACAGCCCAAATGATTACCATGCATATCAAATAATGTCATATTTAATAATTCATACATGTTTGTCAGATACTTTGGCACAAACTCAGTGGTGTTTTTTAGTTTCAAATTAATAACATACTATTATTGTTATTATTATTATTATTATTATTATTATTATTATTATTAAGTTTTAAAAATTGTAGTTACAATTATAATTAAATAATAAATAACTCAAAATATGGAGAAACTTTGGTTATGAATGTTTGCACTTCTACCGTTGTGGCAAATTATCTGACAATAACAGTAATGGAAAGTGTACTGAACCAAAAAATGTGCAATTGATAGCATAATAAACTAGTACATCTTCACAATAAACATTGAGCTCTTATTAAATACTATAATAGAATTATGATTATTAAACAATTGGACTAACTCTGTAACAATAACTAGAAACTCCAAATGCTCTAAATCTTAAAACAAATTTAATTTTTAGCTGACAATTCCACCTTGGCCTTTTTATGCTCGTAATCCACTTAGATGGCAAAAAGTAAAGAAGGTTAAGAAAATTGAAAATATCCTAACCTATGATGAGTACAAAGAAGAAAAAAAGAAAGAAAAAAAGAAGACAAAATGAAATAGTTTATAGCATATTTTTTTAATATTTTATTTTTTCCTATTATATTATTTAATTTAAATCAATTATTTGAAATAAATATATGTTATATATTATATTATATTGTATTAAAAGAAATTATATTTACATTAAATATTATGAATAAGCTAGGTATGTAAATGTCCTAAAAAAAAGAAAAAAAATTTTAAACATGGGTTTAAGTTAGTAACTACTCTGCTGTACAGTTGTTTAATCAATCTCGTCATTGTGGAGTAAGTCATTGTAATGTATGTGTTAAATTTGAATTTAATGATAAATCATTGTTTATAAAAAACAATTCAAAGCAAACATAGTCTGTCAGTCTATATTATTACGTTAATTTGATGATACATTTATATTACAATTAAAGTTTATTTTGTTCTTAATAATATGGTAGGTTTAATTAATTTTTGCAAAAACATTGCGTTTGAAAATGTTATGGTGTGAATTAAATATAATAATAAACAGCAAAAGTTTCATGTACTCACAAAAAACATTTTGGAATAACAACAAAATAATTAAAATTGTTGTTATTTTTCATTTATATTCTTATTGTAACAAATTTCTATAAACATAAAATAGTGGTTTTACAGTTTGTAATTTTTTTTTCTTGCAGTATTAACTACTTTTGAGAAACCTCATATTAACTTTTCAATCTTAATCCATACAAATTAAATGTTTCGTACATTTTTAACTAAAACTTAATTTGGTCAAAATTCTAACTTTAAAGTTAAACACTTAAATAAAATATTGTGATTATGTATATAAATTCTTTGGTTTCAACTTAAATTATAAGAAAGTTAAAAACTTGAATTTGTTACCAAAATAATAAATTTTAATAATTTAAAGTTACCTCATTCCCCTTTTTTATGATTCGTTTTATAGCTATTAGCTACACACTTTATATAATGAAAAAATAAATTATTAATTGTACATTTATTAATAGTTATTGTAACGTTATTGGGAAGAGGGGTGAGTTTACCACTAGTCAAGCGTAACTCAAGCATAGTATTAACACAGCTATAACTAGACATTTTTAATGGAGTCTATTGGTTATAAGTTATAACTATGACTTATCAGCATAAACAATAATTTATTTTACAAATATTATGTAAAATTAATTTTGATACATTTTTAAAATATTCAAGTTTCATCTACTATTTACATATACCTATTTATTGTTATACTATGATGAATTGTCATCAGAAAATGACTGATTCAGTCTTGAAAATATAATATATTTTAGTAGATCCTTCAAATACGTTTTCAATCAACCTATAGTGTTGAAAATCCACCTATAAACAGTGTTAATACCTACAGCCGTTCATGGAAATCTAATTCTAAAAAATATAAAGCACCAATGATGTATACCTTTATGAACATAGCTCTTAAGCAATAAGCGATGATGGTTGTCACTACACTTATCAGAAAGTATTAAAGTATAGGTACAGTTTAAATTCTATATGTAATCATTCATACTATTATTATAGACTATTAAATAACCAAAAACCTTAGGTGTGACATAAAAATACTTATGGGGTATGGTTATGTACTTATATATAATAAAGTATTTACCTGATACAGCGATACCTACGTAAAGCAATATGCATGCACTATAATTGCCCTAGTCCAGGGGCCCTCAGCCTTACCCACACCACTGATCAGTACCTACTATAGGTGGGTTAAACATTTATTTATTTTTAAATTAATATTATGGCACTGGTAAAAACTTGAACCTATGATATTATTTTTATAAATTTAAGTTTATCAATTTGGTTTTCTTCTAACTGTTCGATAGTATTAGAAATAAATGCTTCTTTTTCTTAAATATTGTGTACCTATAATCTGATTGCCTTTAGAACTAAGGTCAATCATATTAATTGTATGTTTTTATCTGTCATCGTCTTCACTTCGTGGGTAACAAAACGGGTGTAAGTACTAATAGTATCAAATTAAATATAATAATTATTTAATTATTAATGATGAACAATGACAGTAAATATCAAAATAAATGGACACAAATATTGTCATTCTGTATCAGCTCTCAACACTAGTAACAACAACTAACAACGTATATTTTTTGTAGATTTGTAGGACAGTTCTATACTATTTTTTATTTTTTATTTTTTCTTTAACTTAAAAATGGACCAACTGAAAAAACAAACTTGTCGCCGCCCATCAAAGAAATTGTTGAGTTCTTGGGTGATTAATATTATAGGAATTCATGACAAAACTAAGTACAAATATTATTTTATTATCAAATATGATTATTCGTTTAATGCAATAATTAATTAAAATTATGTCAAAGTCCTAATTCAGATGTCATAGAACGAATGTTGTGGAACCAATTTCTAAAGTGCTGTCGTGCTGATAATCAACCTGAATGGTCATCAATCAAGGGAAACAATATTAGGTAAAGTTTAAAAATAAACTTCTAAATTTAAGTACAAAAATTCTCAAAGCACTATAGCCTCCATATCTTCTAAACCCATTGGCCATTATTATGAAGTTATTATCTTTAATACATTTAGTCAAATAACTTAATTATCATCTAAAAAAAAAGGAGTAACTTTTTATGAGCGTTTAATGTTAAAATGTTGACAAAATTCATCAAAATCACGAAAATTGGTAAATTATTTCGAGTTAGAAATTCAAAAAAAAAATTGTGTATGTATATCTATGATTTGAAATTCTTATTCAAAATCTCTCTTAAGTTTAAATCCCTTGAATTAATTTTTTACAAGCGTTTGAAGTTACACATTAGATATTCATCCGTAAATTAACAAATTCTCATACAATGATTTTCTTATTTTGTTGTTATTTAAAAGCTATTATAGATACTTGAATTACTTTTCATCAAATGTTTATTGCCTCATTTTCTATACATTATATAATTTTCAAAGGTTACTCGTATTGAGCTATTAATAGACATTTAAAATTTGAAATATTTTCTATAAATATCAATTAACATATTTTCATTGTGCCGAAATACTTAAAAATTGAATACAAAGCTATTAAAGTAGTTATAGTAGCAGTTTATAAATATTAAAGAATACGAACATTTTTTTTTTAGTATTAAAAATTCAAATTTTGGCATAATTTATCAAAAGCTCGATAATTTTTAAACTATTTTGTAGTTGAAAAATTATGAAATATTCAATTTTTATAGTTAAGAATTTAAAATTTAAAACTATGATTCTCATAAATAGTTCCTACTGTATAGTCTGTAACCAAAATATCTAAAAATTAATATACTCAGTTCTTTTTTACCGACATTTTAATTTGTAGTTCAAATTTGGACTAAATTACATATTTAAACCAAGAATAACGATTTTAGTTGTTTTGTTGTAATTTAAAAAGATTATTCGTAAGTACTCGAGACTTGTATTGTACATTATTATATTGTATACACACATGTTATTTTCAAATGCAATTTTTTTGACAAAAATGAATTTATCCTACTAATGTAAAATAAATGACTTTAGTCACAATAATATCATAAAATATACCTACGTGGCTAAGTAATAAAAGTAGGGACTAACAGACTGTCCTGCTCAGAATCGTTTTTTGTATATAATGATTATTAAATTCAAAGTTTCACACCCATAACAGTGAGTCAGTGACTCGATCTTTAGAAACCTACTGTACAGCAGAACGTTACCCGCTTGTCTGCTTTTTTTAATGTAAATTGTGTATGTGAACACATACACTAAAAAATAAAATTAAAAAAAGTTTAACTTTCCGTATTGATAGATAAAAGTAAAACAAATAAATTATAAAATATCCTTAAAAATAGATCTTCTAGCTTGACTAGCCCCAAGGCTGACTCGCCGCCTAATCTCTGAATCGTTATTCGTATGCGGCAATGATCATGGTGTTTTTGCGTACCCCTACACTAGTATATTAGTTTTTGAACACAATATTGTTTCGTTTATTATCCATCACCCAGTTAATTGGTCTAAACTAATGAGTCTAGAGTATGGTCTTCCTAGTATAGACCCGGCTTATTAAACAATATGCATATGCATAGACTATAGAGCATAGACAAATATAAACAATATTTATATCATGATACTTTTTTTATAGAGTTTAGAATAGTAGACGAATTTACGTAGGTATTACGATAGAGATAGACTGTGGGTAAGTATACTCGTATATTATTGTAGAACAATACAATTTCAAAGTGTAACATAACACGATAAAATACTTGATAAGTCATACAACTATTTGTTCATTTTGTGTCTGATATTAAATATTAAAATAGCAAATAATTTGTGCATGTAACTATAAATTGTCTATTGTCGTATTGGAATTTGGAATTTATAATTTAATACCAATGTAATGTGTTTATGATTAATTTCTAGTTCTAATTTTAAAATGGTCCGGTTATAAAATGTATAAAATATAGATTTATTCATCAATTAATAATGTTCTTTTGCTAAATTCTAATGAAAAGTGTGGTCGTGTGGAACAATGATAATCATTAATCATTATTACCTTTAACCTACCTCCTTATATGGGTATATTTAACAATGGGTGTAATATAATAAATTACTATTATTTGAATCGGGATTTTTTTTTTTTTTGCAAAAAGTCTGGTTAATCTACTCTTAAAGTTATAATTTTTATGGAAAGCTATTTATTAAAGTGTCCATTTATTTGATCTAACCTTCTATCAAACTTTAAAATATGAACATTATCTCATGGTATTTCTTACGATATTTTAATTTTCAAGCTAGTTAGGAGAATGATTAAATTGTATTTTGTATAACTACTTGTAACTTTGTACTATATATAGTAAGTACGTACCTACTACCTACGTTTTCCTAGTTTTCCGTGTAAACCTTGTCGTACTATAATGACATAATATACCAAAATTCCAAAATATCAAATAGGTAGTTGAAAATTTAAATTTGATATTCAACTATACTACTCGGTATGGTTATGATTCACTAATGAAATTTAATTATTAAGGAGTAATGACTCTAGGGAATAGTGAAACTAAAACAATATAATAAAAGCAATATTATTTAATCTAATGAATAACAATACAATTCTGAACACGGATCACAACCTGGACCATTAAAACCGAATGTTATTTTATGTGGACCGCCATTTCGTGAACTTTGGTCTACTGGAACACGGGATGGTGGAATAGCACCTACGACTTACCTCAGGCACGCCCGGAGAGGGGTGGCCAGGTGGTGCAAATGCACCACCTGAAAATTTTAATAATTTGGATTTTTCAAATAAATAATAAAATATAAAAATTCCTTCTCTGTAAATTTTTAATTTATGCCCATGATTATTCCCAATATAGTAAATATTAAATACTTATTAGCTATTCAGGCATCTGACTATTCTGAGATACCACCGTCTGTCGCATTTT